TTGCCCAGAAACACCAGTCAGAAAGGATATATGCACCCCTATGTTCATAGCAGCACAATTCACCATAGCTAAGAGCTGGAAACAGCCTAAGTGCCCATCAGTAAATGAATGGATTAGAAAACTGTGGTACATCTACACGATGGAATACTATGCTGCTGTAAAAAAAGAAGGAACTCCTACCATTTGCAACGGCATGGATGGAACTGGAGAGCATTATGCTAAGTGAAATAAGCCAGTCAATGAAGGGAAAACACCACATGATCTCACTCACTCATGGATACTAAAGACCATTACAAACTTATGAACAAAAATAGATACAGAGGCAGAGCTGCCTCGAACAGACTGTCAAACTACAGCGGGAATGCTGGGGAGGCTTGAGGGGCGGGAGGAGGGGGAGAGGAAGAGATCAACCGAAGGACTTGTACGCATGCATAGAAGCATAACCAATGGACATAAGACACTGGGGGCTAGGGGAGGCCAGGGGATTGTCAAGGGCGGGGAAAAAGAAAGGACATATATGCAATACCCTTTGTAATACTTTAAGAAATAAAATAAATAAAATAAAACAAAATAAAACAAAAATTAAAAAAAGGGCATGATGCATGCAACTTATTTTCAAGTGGAGAGAGAGAATAAGAGAGAATGAAAAGCAAATGGGGCAAAATACTAACACTAGGTTAGTCTGGTTTAAGGTATATACATATCCTTGCAACTTTTCTGTAATTGAGGTTATTTCAAAATAAAATATTTAAAAATAAACAAGCCTAGGTAGGAAGAAATAAAACGGAAAGAAATAAAGAAACGTAGAGGATGGGATCTTAACGGTGGCGTTGGTTCTGGTTCAGGGCCCAGCTTTTTGGTGAGAAAGGGGTGGGTGCTCCAGGCCGGGGTTCCCCTCCCAGGCACTCCTCCTATTTTCCATGTGACTCCTCCCAGTGGCTCCAGCAGAACCAAGAGTGTCTGATGTCAGGTGATCCCAGCAATTGTTCTGAGACCATTCCTGCCACTGCCTGCGGAGAAGGGTCAGAGACTCTGGGGACCAGCAAGGTGATTCTCCAAGGAGCCACTGCCAAGGGTGCCCCAGGGAACAGCGTGATCTCTACTCCGAAAAAGCACCCCGACTGGCCACCTGCTATGGCAACAACTGGACCTTCTTTGCCAAGAGAGAAGGCACCATGCGAACCATCACAAAGCGCCCACGTCCTCGGCCATGGTGTGTGCTCTGCCAGATAAATCCGCCGGCCAAAAGGTGGCTAATTGTGCCCTGGCCAGTTTGGTTCAATGGATAGAGCGTCCGCCTGCAGACCAAAGGGTCCCGGGTTCAATCCCAATCAAGGGCACGTACCTCATTTGCAGGCTCCTCCCCGGCCCAGGCCCTGGTTGGGGTCCGTGCAAGAGGCAACCAATTGATGCCGCCAATATTTCCCTCTCTCGTCCACTTTCTGAAAATCTGTTGGTGAATGGCTCGCAGTGAAGAGCTCGAACCGTTGGTTTTCGACTCGGGAAGGTGCTCAGGAATCAGATGGGCCTGGAGCTCCTCGGTAGAAAGGAGCCCAGGAGACTTTATTTTCCTATTTCTCTGTAGTTTTCTTCTCAAACTGTTTCCCTCTCTGTTTGTCTAAAGGAAGTTCATTAAGAAAATCTTGCCCATTTTAGTTTCATTCCTTAGTCTTATTACTATTTAAAAGAGTGGTGAGCCCTAACCAGTTTGGCTCATTGTATAGAGCTTGAGGCGGAAGAGGCAGGTGCGGTAGTAGGCGGTGGCGTTGACCACGCCGTGGCACTCCAGGAACGAGCTGTTGGACGGGTCGTTGATGACGCCGCAGCGCGCGCGGCTGCGGTAGAGCTTGAGCAGCTCCGAGTCGTTGCCGCAGGCCTTGAGCAGGTCCCCGCACTCGCCGTTGCAGATCTCCTCGAAGGTGGTCCAGCTCTCCAGGAACACGGCCAGGTTGTCCGTGCACTTGCCGTTGGGGAGGCAGAACTCGTCGCTGGCGTTGGCGTTGAAGAAGCCGCACAGGCCTCCGGTGCAGTTGAAGTAGACGGTGGACAGGCGCACGTACAGCAGCCCCGAGGCCCAGTACTGCACGCTCACCACGCCCTTGGACTCCACCGTGGTGCTGTTCTGGGTCCGGTGAACCTCCAGCTTCCCCGAGAGGTGGAAGAAAGGCAGTTCCACCTCCTGGCCGTTCACCTGCAAGAGCAGGCCCTGCGGTCAGTGCCGGCGCAGAGGCCAGAGGCCGGGCCGGACCAGCCAGCCCTGCAGGAGCCGCAGACAGGCAGCTGGACCCACAGAGGGTCGTTGCCTTTGTGGCTGGACCCTCTGACGCAGCACATTCACTGTGTATGTCCTTAGGGACGGACGCTCAGCTGTCCCCAAACCAAAGGGAAATGGACGCAGGTGTCCTCCCCGCGCGGCTGCCGCCGGCCGCCTTTCCACAGACAGAGCCCCTTCCCCTTTGGGC